AGAAATTCAGACTGAAAGGGAAATCCAGATAAGTTGACCAGACAAAATAGTGGAAAATCATGGTGAAAACAGCTCTCTTCAGATAGATATTGCAACCCCCGCCGACAAAAATACGTCTTTGAAAACGTTTGAGAAACTAAGTAAAGACAAGGAACTCAAGATAGAAAGCAGGAGAATGTCAGAGAAACCAATTGGCATGAATAGAATGTTGCATTTTAAACCAACATTACCTGTTGTTATTGGGGCTCAGGGAATGATATCAAAAGGAGCAAGTAATTATGAGAATCGCCCTAAAATAGCCCTAAACCAGTGTTTCTCAACCTTTTTAAGCAATCTAGGAGCAAATGAAAAATATCACGGCGCAATTAGCAAAATTTTTAAACGTTATACATTTAAACATTATGAAATAAAACCATACATTTTTTTTTAAAAAAAGAAGGACACACAAATAGGAACTTACTTTATTTCAATGTTTCTCTTCAACTATCTGTGCAGCTTATTTAGTGTGAAACCTTTGCCTGGTGTTATTCGCAATTTCTTCAATCTTTGGTCGAATGTGCGATAAGCAGACCGTCATTTTTTCTTAAGTTGAACATAGTCTTTCTCCTTAGTTATTTTGTTTTGAGAAGCTTAATTCACATGAATAAGAAGTAAAAAAAATGCAATAAGGCCGATAAAGCCTTTTTAGCCAATGTGGGGTATTCCTTTTGTATTGAAATCCAAAATGTATCAATGTGTACCGTCGAATGCTTTATTGTGAACCCTCGATCACTAGAAATGGTGGCTAATTCTTCAAATGTTAGAAGGAACATCTATGAAGGGATTTCGAATCAAATCATACGTGGTCAATGACGGAAAATAATACTCATTTTCTGTCGAGCGCTTTCAGTTACTACTTTAACACACACACACACATATATATATATATATATATGCATGCCGTGGCAATATTTTGCGGCACGCTTAACACTGCCCTAAAAAAATGTGAATTGCAAAAAAAAATATGCTCGTAGATATTTCTAGTACCTTGCGTAAATGTAACTCGTATATACGACTCATCGCTAAGAATACAGGTAAAAATGATCAGCACCATTTACCGCTCCAGCAAGTACCTGACTTCTCATGCTATCTTTATAGCGATTTTCCAAGCGTAAAGTATGGGGCACCCAGTGAGGATCGAACTCACTATTCAGTCGTAATTGTCCTAGCGAGACAATCTTGCTAACCATTACACCGCCCCGAGGTGCCCTCTCATGCTATCTTTATATGTGTCACATCAGGCCGAAAATGGAGTACGATTGTCATATTTTGACGGACGCTGCCCAGTCCTCACTTTTCAGTCTTAAAGCATTTCCGAATTATTTTCCACCCTCCAACTTCTCTCTCGCAGTTCTAACCTTCACAGCTTGGACCATATACATATGTTTGTTCCCTCTGATTGCATGGCATATATGACGCGTTCCGTGGAGTAGGGCCTTATTCAACATTTGATAATTTGGCGGCAACACCCGCTTAAAGTGTTTGGGCAGTTTTGATCAACATTTCTTTTCATGGTTAGCCGTTAAGAACTGTAAATGTAAGACTGCCTTACACTTAATTAAAATAATAACAATATTTATTAAGAATTTATTACAGGTAATATCAAGATTTTGTTTATCATTTTAGAAGTTGGGTTCTGCTCATAATATAAATACAATGCCAAATAGATCCCCGACTTCTTAAAGATATATCAGTAATTTGTTTTTATTTACAAATCGTCATCTTCTGTTTCCTTGAAACCTGTTCTTTTACTGTTCTCTGTTTTTTTCGATCAATAAGCCTTGATTTTTTTTAATGTCAAGTTTTAAACTGTGCTTACACCATTAATAACGACGTGCTACTGATGTTTTCTGTTTCCCAAATCATAGTGGTAAACAGTTATCAATGATATAAGCACAGTTTCAAAATTAACGTTTGTAAATAAAAACAAACTCTTTAAGAATAAATAGATCGATTTGGTACAGTATTTATATTATGAAGAGGGTCCGCTTCTAAAGTGATATACATCAATACTTTTCAATTTTGACAAATGTCGTAGGTGCAGGAAGGTCTACTGAATGCTAATCTACAAAAAAATGTCTCCTGCTATTTATTACGGGTAGACCAGGCTATTCAAGCAGTGGCCAAATTTGAAATCCTACACAATTGTGCATTATGCCTGACTAAAGCAAACTAAGTAATTATATATCCATTTATATTTTTTCTGTTGGATTTCTTTGAATTTATTGGCTAACCAATACTCTCAAGACATTATCTCATTTTGCAGTTCCTGTTTCTCAAAAAACGACCGGAAATGTAGTCTTTCACGCAAATGTTTTTATTTCCCTGTTGATGTCATTCAATTTTCCTGCTTGGCAACATGGTGTTGTCATTGTGTTTCATTTTATTTATATATTTGTTACTGCTTGTTCTATGTTGTGGATTTTTCAGTGAACAGAATGTGCTCGATCGGTATAATACGCCGACAAAAGCCGTTCGTTAATCGCATTATATGAGAAGAATGACCCGGCTTTAAATATAATTTCCATATCTCTTTAAACGAATCTTCTTTTTTTAGAAAGAAAGAAAGAAAATGGAAAACAAAAATCCAATAAACGAATGTAAACTAAAAGGGGAAAAATATTACCTATGCAAACGTAGGACGAGGAATGAATGAATGAATGTTTTAAAAATCAGAAAAATAGTAAGTACAGTTTCTAACTTGGAATTTGTAAATAAATGACGTAATTACAGTTTCCAACTTTGATTTTGTAAATAAATAATGTGTAATGACAAAAATACGCAAGTGTTGGCTTTACGAAAGCTTTATTCAACTGAGAATACAAGGTTCGCTTATAGTGTCCTTTTACATTCTCATTAAACATAAATAGCACTCTGAAAGAGGAGAGTAACGAAACAAGGGGAGACCACTCTTGATTATTCATAACATGTTGTAAGCAGTTTTAAACTTGGGACTTGTAAAAAAAAAAGACTATGTTCAGATAACTGTAAAAATTCAGGGATTGATTTTACACTTTATTTATACACTTTATTTTTTTATTATTTATAATCAGAACAGCATTTTAAATTGATAAAAAATACAATATTTCCGATTCTGAAAAATGATGTGGCTTGAGAAAGATTTAATGAATGCTAATCTACAAAGAATTATTTCCTGAAAGAATTTTGGCTATTTTTTATGAATTCAACAGCTATTCAAGCAGTGGCCAAATTTGAAATCCTACATAATTGTGCATTGTGCCTGACTAAAGCAAACTAAGTAATTATATATCCATTTATTTTTTTTCCGTTGGATTTCTTTGAATTTATTTGCTAGCCAATACTGTCGAGACATTATCTCATTTTGCAGTTCCTGTTTCTCAAAAAACGACCGGAAATGTAGTCTTTCACGCAAATGTTTTTATTTTCCTGTTGATGTCATTCGATTTTCCTGTTTCATGGTGTTGTCGTTATGTTTCATTTTATTTATGTATTTGTTACTGCTTGTTCTCTATTGTGGATTTTTCAGAGAACAGAATGTTCTCGATCGGTATAAGGCGCCCACAAATATCGTTCGCTAATCGCATTATCTGAGAAGAAGGATCCAGCGTCAAATATAATTTCCATATTTCTTTTAACGAAACGTCTTTTTTTTAAAAATCAGCAAAATATATGCAGATATCAATGATGGAAGTACAGTTTTAAACTTAGATTTGCAAATAAGGAGACTACAGTTAGGCAACTGTAAAAATTCAGGGAGTGATTTTACACTTTGTTTATACTATGATAAAGAACACCATCCAAATCGATAAAAATTCAATATTTTCCGTTCTAACAAATGTGCCTCCCGGAAGATCTAGTGAATGTTAATCTACAAAAATTATTTAAGCAAAAATATTTTTCCTATTTTTACGAACGGACCAGTTAATTTACGTAGTGCCTGAATTTATTTCTTTTATTCACATTACGGATATTTATTTATTGTTTCATCTCACTTCACTTAAATGTTCAGAAATGTCCGTTACGCCCGTTCATTTCATCCTACATTGCCTGTCAGAATATTCTGGAGAAAAAAAAGGAATTCTCAAAACCAAGCCCTTGATATACAAATTAAAAAGGACAATAGAAATTTGTGATGTATCAAATTCTTAACCTAATATCCGTCCCATTTATTCTTCCTGCCTTTAACGTTTTACAAGTGCAAAAAAAAAAGCGGTTTTGTTAGACCCACTACTCATATAATAATCGTTTGTTCTTATTGGTGTCCACTTGGATTTTCCACATTTCTTCAATTGACCTTCCTGTAAGTCGAGTTATGGACGAATTCTCAAGTACAGACATAAAACAAAAGTCAGTAAATTTATTTAATAGTTTAGAGCTATGATATATCATTTAAAAATACACGATTCTTAAATTTGAATGATTTGTATTTTTACGGCTTATCAACCTTTTACAGGTTATTTAAAGCCAGAAAATACTTTTTGAATGTAAGAATTTTTTTGAGATACTAATGATTTATCGATACAATTCCTACTAATTAACCCATATCTGGGGGGAAGAGGTATATCGATACCTTTCCCAATGGTGTCTGTGCGTCAGTCAGTTTTATGCCATACGTGTTACACGCTTAGGCGATCATGTATCTTTCGATACATGACTGACGAGGCAGATTTTTTTCATGCGGTAGGTTGCCATTTCATTCTGCGGTAGACCAGTTGCCATTCAAGAACACGTTCTGTCTTGCTATTTACCCATAGATGAGGGGAGCTGAAGAGGATTCATACCTTTCGCAAGGGTATTAGCACGTAAGTGAATGTAATGGATTCGAACGGAATTCGAACTCGGCTCTCCGATTCCTCAATCTGAACCGCTATCCATTACGTGTCTGTGCGTAAATGAATATAATAAACCAGTTGGAACTGGAACTCGCCTCTCTGATTAACAATTCCGAGTTATTCTCCATTACACCACCTGCACATCCTTACAAGACTTGGTATTCCCAAGCGTTTACCCATGTAGGTACTGACCAGGCGCGACGTTGCTTAACTCCGCTGATCTTACAGGAACCGGTGTTTTAACGTGATTCGGTCGTAAACAAGGGAGCAATAAAGAAAGAAAGAAAGAAAGAAAGAAAGAAAGAAAGAAAGAAAGAAAGAAAAGAGGAAGAGAGCAAGGAGGAAGGGAATGTCCAAGACAGGCTGTAGATAGAAAGACGAAGGCTTAAAATAGTCATATAGGAATTTAGTAAACGTTTCTCTGTCTGACACAAGGACACGTGTGCAGGGATCAAACCCACTAGTTAATTACTACTCTACAGGGAAGTGCTTTTTAGACGATGTATATCAGTGTATGACCGCGGCTCGCATGTATGTAACAGTGAGTACATGTGTCAATGTCTGTATGCATGTACTTACGTGAGAGAGAGAGAGAGAGAGAGAAAGAAAGAGAAAGAGCAAGAGAGAGAAAGAAAGAATTAAATTGTTATGGGAAAGGAAAAGGATGATTAAAGATAATATTGGTAATAGTAAAGAGAGAGAGAGAGAGAGAGAGAGAGAACACTACGAGCAAGAAGAGAGGGAAAAGTTAAAGAAATCCTATGTAAGGAAACAATGAAAAAATAGTGACACAGTAAAAACATCAACTGAGAAAATGACAATTATTTTAAAGAAGGAAAGAGAGAGAAGAAAAGTAGAAAGATTGAACTGATAAAAAGATAGCAAAAAAAAAAATAATAATGTTATTATAAGTTACTAATGACTATCTTGTTTTTTAGTCAAGAACAATATTAAACCATTCTCAACAAATAACCAATCGCTATCGTCAGCGTCATCATGGATAACGAGAGACGTGAAGGGATTGTGTCGGAGAAAGTAATGAAAAACCGTTGAAGGAGTCGATGGGGAGATATGCGACTCGGGCGTCTCTAACGACAATAATAACCAAACTGACACCACTTAGTAAACATGACACAGAGAGAAAATACGCAGGCGCACTCTCATACGCTTTGGAGCATGCACTCAAGAAGCGCCAAAGTGACACACTAAAGAGACGCACATGAACATTAAAGACAAGTTTATATTTGTGTCTTTAGAACTTTTCCGTTCCCTGCCAGTCAGCTTTTGATGGATTTTTCTTTCTTTCTTTTTGTCTTTCATTCTTCTTTCTTTCTTTCTTTCTTTCTTTCTTTTTGTCTTTCATTCTTCTTTCTTTCTTTCTTTCTTTCTTTTTGTCTTTCATTCTTCTTTCTTTCTTTCTTTCTTTCTTTTTGTCTTTCATTCTTCTTTCTTTCTTTCTTTTTGTCTTTCATTCTTCTTTCTTTCTTTCTTTCTTTTTGTCTATCATTCTTCTTTCTTTCTTTTTGTCTTTCATTCTTCTTTCTTTCTTTCTTTGTTTTTGTCTTTCATTCTTCTTTCTTTCTTTCTTTCTTTCTTTTTGTCTTTCATTCTTCTTTCTTTCTTTCTTTCTTTTTGTATTTCATTCTTCTTTCTTTCTTTCTTTCTTTGTTTTTGTCTTTCATTCTTCTTTCTTTCTTTCTTTTTGTCTTTCATTCTTCTTTCTTTCTTTTTGTCTTTCATTCTTCTTTCTTTCTTTCTTTATTTCTTTCTTTGTTTTTGTCTTTCATTCTTCTTTCTTTCTTTCTTTCTTTTTGTATTTCATTCTTCTTTCTTTCTTTCTTTGTTTTTGTCTTTCATTCTTCTTTCTTTCTTTCTTTCTTTCTTTTTGTCTTTCATTCTTCTTTCTTTCTTTTTTTCTTTCTTTTTGTCTTTCATTCTTCTTTCTTTCTTTCTTTCTTTGTTTTTGTCTTTCATTCTTCTTTCTTTCTTTCTTTCTTTATTTTTGTCTTTCATTCTTCTTTCTTTCTTTTTGTCTTTCATTCTTCTTTCTTTCTTTCTTTCTTTCTTTGTTTTTGTCTTTCATTCTTCTTTCTTTCTTTCTTTCTTTTTGTATTTCATTCTTCTTTCTTTCTTTCTTTGTTTTTGTCTTTCATTCTTCTTTCTTTATTTTTGTCTTTCATTCTTCTTTCTTTCTCTGTTTTCTTTCTTTTGATAATTTTAAAGCTCTCCTATTTTTCCGATTTTTCATTTAATTATTTATTTATTTATATATATTCCAATGTTTACTTCTTGTTCTTTCTTTCTTTCTTTCTTTCTTTCTTTCTTTCTTTCTTTCTTTCTTTCTTTCTTTCCCAATGTTTATTTTTTGCCTCTTTTTTTATTTCTTTTAAATTCATTCAAATTTCTCTCCAGTTCTTCCTTTTTTAAAAATGCATTTAAATTTTTCCCTGGATAAATTTTTCCTTTATAAATTATTTTCCCATCCGATGTTTTCTTTTTCTTTCTTGTATATCATTTTAATCTTTTTCTTCCTTTTACTTTTTTTAGCCAACTCGTCTCCAACCATCATATCATCCATTCCTTAATTTCCATTCATTATTCTTATGAGTTTATTCCTCTTACTTTATTTCGCATTCCTTTATTCTCAATCCTTTATTCATATTCCTTAAATTTAATTCTATTATTCCGATTCCTTAACATCCTGTCTATTATTCCTAGTCTTTAATTCACATTCTTTAATTCTTTCCAAAATATATTCCTTTTTTTATTTGCCTCTCTTTTCGTCGTTTTTTATTTGTAATTTTCCTTTCTTCATTTATTTCATTCATTGTCTATTCTTTCTTTCTATCTCCATTATTTTCTCTTTTAACCCAAGTCTCTTTTCATGTTTCATTCTTTCGCCGAGCTTCTCATTCTTTCAAATTCTTCCTTTTTCTTTGTTTACGCCTTTCAATTTTATTCCTTTATTTTATCATTTCATTTTCTCTGTTCTTTTTCCATTCCCTTTTATTTCCCTGGAAAATTTGTTATCTCTTACGTTTCTATTATTTCTTAATCCATTCAACTCGGAATAATTGAGAGAGAAAAAAAGCGCCAAAAGTTTCAAGGTAGACAAAATGTTTCCTTCAGGTTGGACATCAAATTGAAGTCGCTATTTTTTACATAATTCGTCAAAAGCTGAATAAGTATGTCACTGAATTTCTCTTAATTTTGCTTGTCTTCATTATCTAATTTATTATCAGAGTTTTTCTGCGTGGATTGGAAATTAGACCCTTTTACGTTTCCTATTTTATCTTTGATAATATCTGCTAAAAGTTACATTCGTTTCAAATATTCATTGAATTCGAACAAAAGCAAGGAGAAATAAATTTGACTAACAGTCATTGCTGGAGTTTGAACAAATATAAATGGCGACAGTCCTGGCAAATCATCGAAAAAAGAACTGAAGATTCGATTTCGAATTTTAGCCCTATATATTGATGATCTATCAACGATCGTCCCGTTCCCCCCCACCACCACCAAAAAAAACAGGACCAAGATCCAAGTTTTATTCCCTGGACAGTCATTCGTATCAATGTTATTGATCTTATGGCAGTCGAGAAAATATCTGAAAACGATGTTACATTTTCAATTTTATAATTTAACACACACACACACACACACATATATATATATATATATATATATATATATATATATATATATATATATATATATATATATATATATATATTATACATAAGTAAGCCCGAACTAAAATTCATGATTACTTATGGATAATATACCCAGCAGTTATATCCTTCCAGTCGTGAAATTTTTCCGCTATCTTCGTAACCGTCTAGTCTAGCAATATCTTACGTATTGAATTTTCTGGGCATATTATATTATTTATCTCCTTAAAAAAGTCCGTACTGTTTTCCACAAGACAATAAAATTACATATGGTCCTATCTCAAGTAGAGAACATTCAAAGCAGAGATATAGTTTTCTTTTTTATATATAAAATACACACACACACACACACACACACATATATATATATATATATATATATATATATATATATTATGAAAGGCATACGTAGGCAAACAAACTTTCTTTTATATATATATATATATATATATATATATATATATATATATATATATATATATATATATATATTCAGAGAGAGAGAGAGAGACAGTTAATACAAGTAAAATGTTTATCACTTAACTGATTGAAGTTACCTTCACCATCCCGAATCCAGAGCTTCGTAGATGCACCTGTCTATCCACTCGTCAGAGGTTATCAGCAATTGACTGCTAATACTTCTCGACTTTGATATTTTTTTTTATATACACTTGGTACAAGTTTTTGGAGTTTTTTTAATACTGTATGTGTGCATATGTGCGTTCGTGCGTGTGAGCACCCGCGCGGATGTACGTGCGTGTAGAAAGTTGTAATTATTTATCCTTTTTCATCATTTGTTTTTCATCGGACGTTAATGACCTCAGTGTGAAAATTGCCAGTTCTTTGGTCGTGGCACCTGATAATTATATTTTTTATTCGCTCTTCCTCAATCTTTGCCTTCAAGCGGGTGAATCTCTCACTCTGGTCAGATGACGACAAATATAGGTGTATGGGGAGTGCATGGCTGCAAACTCTTTTTCATCTTAATCAGATCAGTGTGTTACGTAAAAACAATGCCAGAAAATAAGATGAAGAATATTAAATGATAATAATGATAGCAATAATAATAATAATAATATTATAAATAACTAAGATAATAATAATAATAAGGATGATGACAAAAATGAAAACAAGCAAGGAAATATCTGTCATTATTGGATAATAAGATGGTTATAATAACAATAATGACTATAACAATATATTATATACATATATACACACACACACACACACACACATATATATATGCGTTTATGTATTATACGTATATATATATAAGTCATTAATGCATATATTGTATACATACATATATACACATGTATATACATATATATACACACACAGATATGTGCGTGTATGTGTATACATATATATATATATGTGTGTGTATATATATATATATATAGAAATATATACCCGAATGTAATGAGAACGAAAATAATATAAATTCTAACGTTCACAGCATTCATTCAAAAGAAATATATATATATATATATATATATATATATATATATATATAATAAATATGATAAGCAAATATGAATGGATATAAATCCGACAGAATGAAGAAAATATCTGGAAAAACAAAACAAAAATCCTTAAAATGCGATTATGTTGTTTTAACATGAATGAAATGTCGACGTTTGACGTTTCGGTTTAATAACCTTCTTCAGGACAATATTCATTAAAAATACAATTAACATAATCAGTATAACACGACGAAAACGATGGACACAAAAACAAGTCTTTCCATCGGAATCAAATTTATAAAATTTTTAAGAATACGTTGTGAAAGCGTCGCCCATTTGACGACAACGTGACCACGCTCAAACGGAAAGCTGATCATTTAAAATTTTCATTTATCTGTTTTGGATAAGACTTGTTTTTATGTCCATCGTTTTCGATCAAGATTTTTAGGATAGATTCGTATCAATAGAATATGTATTCTTTGGTTTAGATTGGTTTGGTTTATTTTGTTTTGCGGCATATCAACCTCAATGGATTATTTGATGCCGACATTTTTTTTTTTATTGCTTGTAATATTTTGTTTTGTGAAAAATCTGTTTTTGGTAATATTTTTCCTTTAAAATTCTATTGCTGGTAAAATTTTTTTTTACAAAATGTATTGCTGGTAATAGTTAACTATTTTCCCATAGCTGGGACCCTAACAGGTGCTACCACCCCGGGTCAGGATGGACCTGGGAACACTAGCATTTAAGAGGTGTTTCCACTCTCCTCAAAACCTCCTGATCAGAGGCCATACTGCTGGATGTAGTTTATTGTCTTACCCAAGACACGGATGTAGTTTAACGTCTTACCCATCTAGATACTGAGCAGACTCGACTTTGGATAACTTCGGTGATCGTACGGGAACCAGTGTTTCAGCGTGATTTGGCCGTATGATACAGGATGATTCTACGTTGTTTTATATCAGTATATCAGGCCAAGGCAGTTTATGTCTCTAAGTATGAATTGGGATAGTCTAAAATATATTCCCAATATCAGAATATAGCCTCTCCTTTTTCCATGTAATAAGGTATACACTGCGTGCCAAATTATTATCGAGATAACTTTTTTTCTAATATTTCAAAAACCTTCCAATCAATTCACACAAAATTTTTTCACAATGTTGGCAACACTGACCTGCGCAATCACGGAAATTTTCGTACTGATCTACGCAATTTAAACAAACTGGTGCCATATTTGTTCTCAGCACGGTGATTTGAGCCTGCCAAATTATTAGAAAAGTGTAAGAATTTAATGAAAAGATGGGCCGTAAAAGCAGTTTAAGTGATGCTGAAAAGAAAACTATCACCTCAGAACTCTCAAAAGTTAAATCTACCCTATAAATTTCTTAAATGATAGGGAGGTGTCATCTAACAGTAAAAAAGTTCACCGCCGACCTTACACAAGTACGCAAAAGGGCAGATAAAGGCAAGCCGAGGGTTATTTCACGTCGTCTCATGTCACGACTTAAACGAGAGGCTACGAAGAACCCTGGGCTTACCAGTCAAGAGCTTTTCAATCGCATTGGGGATCCTACTGTGTCTAAAAGTACTCGGTGTTGGTATCTGAGGGAAATAGCAACAACAGTCAAACCTGTATCGAAGCCTCCGTTGACGAGAAATCACATTCAAAATTGATTGAAATGGGCCGAGGACAATATGAAGATTGACTTTTCTAAAGTTTTGTTCACAGACGAAACTCGAGCAGCACTTGGTGGGCCAGATAGATAGTGCAAAGGCTGGGTAATGAACGGATAGAATCGCCATCAGCGTTTGAGACGCCAAGAAGGCGGTGGAGGCATAATGATCTGGGGTGGTATCATTGGAAAAACATTAGTGGGCCCATGGAGAGTACCAGATTGCGTCAAAATGACTGCTGATGCATTCATAGCGTTTATAAAGGAGCATCTTGAACCGTGAATGAAAAGGTAAAGAGTTGCCTTCAGAAGGGCCATTGTTTTTATGCAAGATAATGCTCCCTCACATGCTGCTCACAAGACTACTGAACATTTGAAACAATTAGGCTTCGATGGACCTCGAAAAATGAAGTGGCGAGCAAATTCTCCGGATTTGAACCCAATCACCTTTGGAGCCTCATGAAGCGAAGACTGCACGCCAACGGACGACAATTCAGGAGCAACGCTGAGTTGTGGGAAGCAATTCTTGACATATCTCGCGGCATTACAGCAGATGACATCCTACAATTAACAAATTCTATGGATCGTCGACTTCCTCAAGTAATTTCAAAATAGGGAAAGCACATTCCCTATTAATTTGTTTAAAACTGTGCCTTTGTTTGTATCTGTTATTATTTGTTTGGTTATCTTATTTATTAGCTTCTTTTGTTCATAAGCATTCATGTGCAACATTAATAAACGTTTCGTTTGCTCAATTCTGGGAATTTTACTAAACCTTTCTAATAATTTGGCACGCTCAAATCACCGTGCTGACAACAAATATGGCGCCAGTTTGTTTAAATTGCGTAGATCAGTACGAAAATTTCAGAGATTGCGCAGGTCAGTGTTGCCAACATTGTGTGAAAACTTTGTGTGAATTGATTGGACGGTTTTTGAAATATTAGAAAAAAGGTTTTCTCGATAATAATTTGGCACGCAGTGTATATTCATGTATACATAGATGATAATCAGAGATGCTATGTATTATGTTGCGATACGAGTCCGCAGAGATTTCTTGTGCAAATTCTAGAGGCTTGAGTTTTATTCTAGATTCATTGGTTGACACTTTAATAAGCCTAACTTCTTGATTGCTTATTGATTTTGTACAAGATTAGACTCTTTGTAGAAGCGTGCATGCCTGTCGACTGAATGGTTGAATGGGTGCATATAAGCCCTAATTAGCAGTTTGCAGATTGGGGCCATTATATAACAAGCTAATTAAGAAATCCCAGCTGTTATTTATTATTCCACCGTACGTCAATTCGACTCAAATTCTAACTCGACTCTCCGATTCCTAAATGCGAGCAAAAGGAATCGGAGAGCCGAGTTCGAATTTCAATCGAGTTCATTTCATTCCCTTTCGTTTCTAATACACTTTGGAGATTTTTGAATCCATCTCCATTCACCGCAGCTATGGGTAAATAGCAAAATAAACGGGATCTTATAGACTTGTTTGGCGACTAGTCTAGGAAAAGGAAAAACTCTGAAATCAAAACCAGCCAGGTAAGCGTTGGACATCGTCAGGCTATCTTGCCCAGGAAATACCACTGCTACTGAGGTTACAGTACACATGGTACCCCTACGACCCTAATAGTTTACGGGACTCGTGATCGTGAATTAAGAAAAAATAAATGCTTATACTAATAGCAAAAATAGAGTTTAAAGGTGTCTAAGGAGGTAGAGATTAGACTTGGTTATTTCATACCCCGAGGCATAAAATTGGCTACCCCAGTCATACACCGGGGTTTCTTCTGAATTAGGCTAAACTATATCAGGGTATATGTTGACATCGCCATTATCCGGGCTGCTATACCGTATAAAGTTAAGCCGTTATGTAAATATTGATATTAACATACACTCATGTCTCTTTGCAGAACGCTAATTAGTAACCGAATGTCAAAGACCATGCCTCGCGAGTTCAATTATCATTGACTTCTGGCTTATGAGCAAATTTGTATCAAATATATAGATGGAAACTAGGGTTTTGTGGCAATCATTGGTTTTGTTTTAAATTTAAAAAAAGAAAAGAAAACATACGATTTTTCTAAAAATAAAACATCTTAAAAGCTCCAAATCCCTCCAGAATTCTTCTGTTTGTGAATCTAAAGCATTTTGAAATGTTTTAAGGCTTCCGGGTAATACATCTTGACCAATGGCATCTTTTAGAAAGAGCTCATTTTGGCGGAATCGGCTCGAGTGATGTCATGTTGCTGAAGATTTTCTTTTAACGTTCGAGTCTTCAGCAACAGCTGTTCTCATCTTTGGTGAATGTCTTTCACGCCTCGCTTGTCACACCTGTCGAAGATGAAAAGGTTATTTGGCAAAATCCAGGAATACGTTAAACGCCCATCAAAGAACATTGGCACACAAATAGAATGAGATCGCAAGACCGATACATTGAAACAATGTATTGCTCTCGATCTCACTTTCTTTCTTTCTTTCTTTCTTTCTTTCTTTCTTTCTTTCTTTCTATCTTTCTTTCTTTCTTTTTTAAATTTCTTTCTTTCTTCATTTTTTTTTCATTTTTCTTCTTTATTTTTCTTTATCTTCTTTTTTAAACTTTTCATTGTTTTTCTTTCTTGTGTTTAGTCATTCCCTCTTTTCATGATTTTCAATTTATTCATTCTAATTCATTCATTCATTCGATGAATTAATCCTTAATTTTATCTTTCTTCTTTTATTTCTTCACGCAGCCTTTCATTACCAACAATTTAAAAATGTGTTTTTTCCTTCATTATTTTTGTCCTTTTCTCATTTACCTTCCTCTTTCCTTCTTTTTATCAATCCCTGCTTTTTAATATCACGACTTCATTTCTCTTTATAAATATGGAACCAAAAATCTGCTACCAAGTGGCTTCGCTAATAGTAGGTATAAGAACATATTTGAACAAGTTCTCAACTGTATATAAAGTATTGTTCAAACATGTTTAGCAGCAGTTCGCTGTGTGACGGTATTTAGTAATATCACTCGTTAATGCATTACTACAACAATGTTACGTATTAATAATAATAAAATTGCCGCACAACGTTTTTATATATACGTTTATTTATTTATATATAAATAAATGCAGCATCTTTTGGTTGATTATTGATTATTTTCATCATTTCAGAGTTTCTTATAAGTTCCAAAAATAGCCCGGCAAATGACCCTCTCTCGTGAACAACAACGCCCTTTGTTGCCATATGATTACAAGTCCGGCCTAAAAGATGGCCAATTGCAACGTCGTATCAATGAAGCATTTAACGAAGACACAGTTCGATTTCCAACATCAGCCAAGAAGTGGTCGACTCTCACGCATTAACAATGAGCATTCGTACGCCTGTGTCAAAGCCGGTCCACACTAGACAGCACGCGAACTGGCTGAGAAGTTTGGCATCAGCCACACAATAATTTTGCTTCCCTTCGAGGGAATGGGCAAAATTCATCAAATTAGATGTATGGGGTCCCACGTAAACTGACTGACTTCGACTCAGGAATGCTACATAGCGCCTACACCATAGCACTGTCCATTTTGGTTGGATGAACAAAATTGTTACTGCAGGTGAAAAATGGTGTCTGTACTTGAAAGTGATGCGCAAAAGAATGTGAACAAACAAAGGCGGAATTATACAACTTCAAAAGAATCTTGTGGTTTGCGTCTGGCGGGATGTGAAGGGCGTGATTCACTAGATATGCTGGAACGCAATCAGTCCATCAACGCTCAACTCTACTGTCAACAACTGCAACGTGTGACTTACGTAATTACACAAAAAAAAAAAACGTCCAGAATTGACTGATGTCATATTCCTTCGTGATCACGCCCAGCCAAACGTTGCAAAGCTCGCCCAGGAAAATTTTCTGTAGCTGTGTTGGGTTGCTCTCCCTCACCCACCGTACTCACCCGAAATAGTGCCAACAGGCTACCATCTATTCTGTGCAATGCAAAACTTCTTGAATCGCAAAACGTTTTCAGCTGATGATGAACTTAAGAAATATAGTTAGTAACTTCTTTGACAGCAAACTGACTGGATTTTACTACAAGAGTATATATGACCTACCCTATCGGTGGAAGCAGTTGATCGAATATAACGGTGATTATACTGATGATTGACATAAGCCGCTTACTGTATTGCATCATGTACATTATGGTTGATAAAAAATTGTGCGGGAACTTTTGTTTCCAACGTTCGTTCACATCATTTTTTAAACTAGAAGGTGTATAACCTTCGAATTTCAAACATCGAAAAGGAAATTCACAGCAATGAAACCTTGAGAGCACTCACTACATCGGCATAATTAGACCGAAAAAAGGATTTTTTTTTTTTGCATTACGATTTCGCATCACAGACGGTGAGAATTATCCGTTGTTGCAGGCAATCCGTACAAGCCCGTTTTGGCACCACCAGACATTTGGTCATTTCTGAAAACGAAAGCGGTGTTAAAGGTTATAATTATCCATTCACTGCCGAAATCGAAATTGTTGCGAGCAACTGGATTAAAAGCAATCCGGCTATTTTCTTCATGGACGGAATAAATAAAAATGTGGATAAAACGTTTTGGAAAACGTGTAGCCAATATATAAATGTTGAAAAATTTCAGTTTTATTGTTCTATTTGCTCTAAAATCTGGTTTATAAAACTGGATACCTTAATTATCAATCAACTACCATGTCTTAACGAGTCGTCTTCTTTTTCATCTTGTGCTGAGGAATAATCATCGAAAAATCATTTGTTTCAACCATTGCTTTACAGCTGAAGCAAAAGCCCTTTGTCATTCCAGGAATCCAGCCGTCTTTCTCTCTCTCTCTCTCTCTCTCTCTCTGTCTCTGTCTCTCTTTCTCTGTCTCTGTCTCTCTCTCTCTTTCTCTCTGTCTCTCTGTCTCTCTGTCTCTCTCTCTCTCTCTCTGTGACTGCATGACATGGGCGATCAGGTCTCTGTACAACTTTCTTTTGTTGTTTTCATCTATACTTCCTTATTTTCTCAAACTTGTCAAATAAGTTTTCTGCTGCTTTTCTTTGTTTCTCTTGTCTTCAGTACGCTCTGTGAGTGTGAAATTCTTGTAGCCTTCTTTATCAAAATATGCCACCACGCCAGATTTTCATAATCTCTTTCTGATTTTTAGCAACAGTTCATTTGCGATTAATATTCTCTTTAAATCTACCTCAATTGTCGCGCGGTTTTTTTCCATGACATACACAACATTCGTTGGTATCTACCATGTTTCAGTTCTTTTCTACTTTTGTGACGAAATTATTCAGCATTCAGGATCATGCACAAGATTAGGATATTACATAGCAGTCCAGCACGCTTTTCGTCGTTCTAAGTTTATTTTTTGATTTTTTAATACTTTTCCCAGATAATTATCTTTCAGTATTCCTATGTAACCAAGATTTATTTAGTATTTTCCCTCTATTCAGAAAAACATGTCTCCGATGAATTAAAAATATGTAATAACTTTATAACTTTTAAATCTTTAGCATTAAATGCGCACTGTCCCAGTTTAAATCACCAAGTTGGTGACACTTTTGAATATTAATTTCTTCTGATAAAAAGGAATTTTGTTTTGAAACTAACGTATCATGTTATTTGTTTACAGCCAGGTACTAAGTAAATTCAAAATGTTTATAGGTTATTGCTATTAAAATCATCTTTAAGTTGTTTACGAAAATAAAATTTTCCTTTATTTGGGAAAAGACAGAATTTCGAGGGAAACTGAATGCCAGTAAATATCAAATTTTCTTGCCGATTTTTTAATTTTTTTTTTTTCATTTTATAATGCTTTTCTTTTTGTTTTCCCTAAATGTACCACAAACGAAATACTCCACACAAAAATCAACAGGGTGGGCTGGGTGTCTGCTTCCCTTCGAGTAAAGACGATACGTCTGTCACTCGACATATTTGTGGAATGGTTGACTGCAAATTGAGCGACAGGGCACTAACTGGAACTTGGGTAAATCTTCCACGCCCTATTCTCACTACATTTCGTGCATGCATGGATTTGCAAAACCGGCAATTATTTCATACACCGTAGGGTCAAATATTGCATTGCTCTTCCGAGACAGAAAAGAAAAATGTTTCTTTGATTTCTGACATTTCTGGTCATATACAGTATTAATTCAGTGCGTCAAGATTTGACTGAACCAATCTTCTCCATAATTACGTAATACTGCCTAAAGTTCTCCAAAATGTATTGACTTTGCAGTGACCACTTACCCTACTACCCCTTGATCTCTATCTATATAAGGCAGGATGTGTGTGCGTGTGTGTAACGAATGCACGGCCGCAATTTTCGACGGATTTGCACCAAAATTTACATGCACATGCTCCAAGTTAGCGGAAAGGCCAATACCGACTTTGCATTTCCCAACTCTCATCGATAGTGGAAATAATCGATTTTTTCATGCTTCTACGGCACTTTTCATCTAGTTTGCGGCCATTTTCTACTGGCCAGAGTGAGAGCCTATAGCTGGCTGCCACGAATAGGCAGGACGATTCTATTGGCCAGCGTGAGAGCCAACAGCTGACTGACACGAGTGTTAACAAGCTTGCTAGCATGCAAAAAAAAATCGATAGTTGCATTCGTCACAAGTGGGAAAAATTTAAATCTGCATGGCACTTTACTCCAATTGGCTCATTCGCTTGCTTAAACTCAACGTTGATTCTGATTCCGCAGAACTGGGTTGGGTGTGAAAAAGTATTTGTTATTAACATTCTTTTTTCATTCGGTTTTTCCAGTTACGAGTCCTTTTTTAAAGCTGATCGTTTTGTGTTCATTTTGTTTAGTTCTTTTTTCGTAACAGATTTAATGTTTAGTATAGAGCTTAGAAAAAAATCGCAGTGTGAGATAGGCAAGAAGTAAGGCATGTAGCAACATCAGCACGGCAAAGGGCACTCCTTTAAAGGCAAGGAAGGACAAAAATATTTTAAGTCAAGTGATAGCGATTGCTGTATGATTCGTACGAATTTTGAATCAAACAACGCCGTGCCATGCTTCTAGTCTATTAATAGTTACCAACTTAAACTTTACTTAACGCCTTCAATATTTTTATTTGAGAAATGTTGTTACGCGGGCTGGGTACTTCGAAGTGGTGCAATGGTTACCAAGCATGTCTTGTTCGATCAATTACGACCGAGCAGTGAGTTCGATTCTCACTGGGTACCCCAAACTTTCTGTCTTGTGTCACTTCTAAACTACGTTTAGAAAATCGTTTTCGGGCACTTCGACATGGGTCAATGCTTAGCAACCTTGTCTCGATAGATCAGTTATGACTGAGTAGTGTGTTCGATCCTTAGTGGGTGCTCCTTCTTTCAACCTTGCTCCACATGTAATCTACGCTTAGGAAATCACCACATATATTATTAATTCAAACTGCGATCACTTACCTTACTATCCCCTGATCTATTAATAGTTGTTAACAACTTAAACTTTATTTAATGGTTTCAATATTTTTACTTGAGAATGTTGTCTCTCTGACTGGGCAATTCAATGTCGTGCAATGGTTTGCAAACTTGTCTTCTTCGATCAATTACGATTGAGTATTGATTTTGGTTCTCTATACATTCAATGTTATGCTTCATCTAAGATATATTTAGTAAATCGCTATTCTCCCGAGAAAATGTTCAAATTTCGCTTCAATTCTTTTCTTTGCTGATGGAATGAACGTATATCCTATTTGGTACTAATAAAGTTATTAGAATATCTTTAACAACCAAAAACTTTATATTATTTTCAACAATCGCAGACTTGAAAAATATAAGGCAGAGTCTAGCAGAAAAGAAAATATTCATAATTCGATTTTCGTGAATGTTCCTTGTTTGAATTTTGTTAGACAAAACTTTTTAGTCATTGTAGTTGATTCGAATACCGGCGAGAAAATCCACCTGACCTAGGGTATGCTTAGAAAATTCTCAAGTTTGAGCCTTCATGCATAAAATATAACTTTAATGAGTTCATTTTCAGCTATTTTTCGTAAGTTGAGTGGTGGGTAACATTAAGCTGTCGGGGAGGGATTCAATTTTAAGTTCTTTTTTGTGGGGAGGGTATCGTGAGATGATATTATATACGCTTTGGAAAATTAAAAAATTTTAATTTCTGTTAAGAATTAGGTAGTCATTCCTCTATAAAGAATTCTGTTTTTATACGCCGTAGGAACAAATTCACATTTCAAAATAAAAAAAAACAGGGATTTATTGCAAAACTAAATATATTTAAAAATTTGAAAATGGTGGAATTTTACTTTATATTAAATTAGCCAAAAATAATCCGAAATTCAATTCATACTTAAAATATAATTCATTTTTGGACTAATCGGGGTTTTGTTAAGCTAATTAAAAAAAACAAAAATAAATGTAGTCCAAACGAATCATATACGATAATTTTCAAGTTGTTGAAAACGAAAAATGATAATGACTGTTATAAATAATCAAGAGTGGTCTCCCCTTGTTTTACTATCCCCTATGAGAGAGCTATTTCTGTTTATCGGGACTATAGAAGGACACTATACGCGAACCTTGTATTCACACTTGAATAAAGCTTTCTTAAACCTTACACCTGCGTACTTTTGTCTTTACAGTGACATTACTCAAACATCTATTTTTGGAAAGATTAACAGCCTGAATGGATCAATTGGTTTCTCCTTTCGAATAAAATAAAAGCAACAAAAACAGAGGAATTTCCGCAAGTCTTTTTATGATTAGATCTTTTCATATCTAGCCAGCCAATATATATATATATATATATATATATATATATATATATATAACATTATATATATATATATTTATATATTAAGAAAATATTAGGGACAAAACTTATGACAAAGTGTAAAAATTTTTTCGTCACGCGTTTCGTCCTTGAGAACTTCATTGGACTAAATTTGTTATGTTGGTACGACTACACATGCGCACAAATGAGGGATGCTGGAAGTTTTAAAAGAATTCACTTTCTCATACATTTATCCCCAATATATATATATATATATATATATATATAAGAGTTTAGATCAATTATGAATCGGAATCCGAATGATGAGGAAAAAATGAAGATAAAGCTATAATAAAAATGAAAACATATTAGACCCATAAACGTTTCCTATTTTTTCTATATCTTATTACGATATTGAGTCTCCCTCTCACTGGGGCAACATGTGACACAAGATCGGTTGTTTATTGTGGGTATTTCCGAGCCCGTGGGCTCGGCCCAAAAATATGCCTGTTTGAACCCGTATAAACGGGTTCAGGGTCGGTTTTACCTCCCCGAAGGAGACTCCGCCCTTCGGCGTAGCCTCCTTCGGGTTCCTCTCCGTCCGGAGACAGAGAGTTGTTCCGTACAGTCAGTCGAGAAAGCGGCTGACTCATCTATATATCTTATCTTATCTTGTTCTATATCTTATTACACACACACACACACACACACATATATATATATATATATATATATATATATATATATATATATATATATATATGCATAATATAAAAGGACACTGAGGTCAACTGCGAGTGGTGCCCGTTTGTTTCATGTTTGAATGCAATCAAGTTTGACGTTTGACTGTCGACAATATTTACATACGCTTTACTCCTGATATATAGAGCAGATTTACCCATAAATATAGCATACCTTAAAATTATATTTTTATTATTCATATACCGGGCGTAACAGCTTGAGATAATTGTCGGTCCCACAAACTATTTAATATCTAAAAATCACACTAAACTAATTGAGCTTCTTTTTTCCAGGTTTTCACATACGACGTTTCTCCATCTTGACACAGTTTGTCATAAGGATCACTGAAAAACTCTTTGAGCTATTCAGCTAAAAAGAAAACAGGTTAAAATCGTTTGGTGTTAGCCCCACCATGTCTTCTCAAGTGAGCAATGGTGAGAGGAAAAAGATCATTCAGAGCTTCA